GAATAGTTTGAACACTTCATCAGCAGATGTCCTCTTCGAAGGGTTACCCAGGAAAAAGTTAATTATAGGCTGCCACCAGTAAGGCTGAACCTCCTGGCACACCCTAAAGTTCCTAGTTGTCCTTCCAAAGATTTCTGCTTTCAGCCCAGTCCTAGGAAAATTAAGAAGAGGGTGCTTTGGACCTTCCTGCACAAGCCTAAAGATGCCGACTTTAACAAACCTTCTGCTAATCCTGAAATGCAAAAGATAGCAATCTTGCACTTGGGGGAACAATTTTAATGAGAAATGATATTACTAAAGCACTGAAGCCAGTTCTCTTCATTAACAAAAGGAGTTGATTAAAAAAAGGTAATATGCAGGAAATAAAGGAAGGTAATAATTAGATAACATTCCAAGTAACCTTTTAAGAGCTTAGCTAGACTAGTTCCATTACTTCTTTGAATAAACTGTTGGATTTCAAAACTTCTTCACAGTTTATTACAGGGAGAATATTTGGAGAGAGAACATCTGGGACTGCTGTATGAATTTTGATAGGTAGGACTTCTTTGTTCATCCTCCCTCACTCCCTCAAAAATATTGCAAGAAAGTAAGCCTCTTTGTTCAATCAAGGAAGATTGAAGACCTTGCCTGCAAATCAGAAATTATCTAATGGTTAATGACCTTTGATAAAGGCTCAGTCTAGTTTTCCTTTGTGGCATTACTGTAGAAATAGGATTTTATGAGACAAGCTTCTTTGGAGATAGAAAAGCCGAATTTGGTTTATTTAGGCCTCTTAACATGGGATCAACTTATCAAATGCTTCAAGGGCACTGTCAGGAGTGCCCGTGGGAATATCAGAAAAGTCAAGATGGAGACCACAGCCATGTGATTGAAGCCCTACCTCTGTCTTGATGCCTGTAAAAAAGGGGCAAGGCTTCAATCACATGGCTGTGGCTGCCCTTTTTACTTTTTTTACCCCCTCCCTGCAGACACCCCCAGCACTGTTACACCTTTCCCAAAAACCAAAAACCCCCCT